TTCAACACTCAATCATCCCACTTGCTAAATCCTTTTCTTTTTCTTTTTGTCGGCACGACGTGCATAAACTTATCAAAGAATTACATCAATCATTGGAATCCCTACCCTAAACTTTTGCTCTTTCATGCGGAACAGTTATCCAGCAGTAAAAGTTGCTGCTCGTCCTGATTCTTACCGCGTCCTGGTCATGGACAGCTTTGTTCGGACAACCCCTTCACCAGATCCCCGATTCCTCTTTTGCTCTTTTCCTCCTCGTGCATAATGCGCTGAGGAAGATGACAAGCAAGAGGAGGGTGAGGCAGAGGCGTCACTGGCTTGCTCGAAATCTGCGGGCTTGCCGAAAGCCTGGATCATTGTTCTTTCCGGCGTTGCTTTGCCTGGGCTTGGAGGGCTTGAGGGGGGCAGAGAAGCATCTCTACCAGATGGGTCATTAGGTTGCTCTTTCCCACCATCGGAAGCATGCACGTTCCTAACCCTCATCCCATGAATTCGTTTCGCCCAGCTTGGGGTTCGTGGCAGATGCCCAGCATTCTACACTGCATGAGCTGGGCTGGACACTGCATTGTTGACCCATGCTCCAAAACGATAAGCAAGTGCTGGCCGACCAAACATGGTCTTCGCATGTACTTCTGTTACAATGGAACTTGTAGACCTTACATGTTCGGAAGCCATCGGGTTTTTAACTTCCCTTGCTTGGAGCTGTTCCTGGAAGGTGGCGCCCGTAGCCACGCGCCAGGAGCGGTCCCGGATGCACCGAAAGCTCACTTGGAATCCACCTAAAGTACCTTATCTCCGACTCTTCCCGCGAAGTCAGAAGAGAAGCCTCAACAAACCCAATCGAAAGGCTGCAGCACCTGGACTACGAAGATCCACATTTCTTGTGCATGGCTGGTGTTATAGTCTCTGCAAGCCGCCACTTCTTGCAGCACTGAAATAGTGCATCTTAGAGTCCGTGGAGTGGCTTGAAGCTATTGATCGACTTGCTGTTTTGCTACATGCTCCTTGTGACTTCGCAGTGACATGGGAGAGTACCGTCTTGCACCGTGGGTTTGTAAAGTGGAACTGCGATGACAATAACGAGATCGAAGGACGTTGTCGGCAGTTTACGATCTTGCTAAACTTCATGTACTAGCCCTACTCCAACCCCCGAGTCCACAGCCTTGTGCAGGAGTCTTCCGACGACCCGCCGGTTCAAAAGCGCAGAGCCCGTTTCAAGTCTGTGGCACTTTGGCAGCAAGCTCGGAACGAAGGAACCCGAATCCTTACCCTGTCCTTGAACTTTCAGTGTCCTGGGGTAGGGGGTCGAAGGATCCTTGTGCCTAATGTCCTTAAACTTGCAGGGCAGATCTATGGTTTGAAGCCTCTGACTTTTCAGTCGATGCCTCACTCCAAGGTTTTTTTTCATGTCGGCACTTTGACATGATTGCGGGTCCTTTGGGCCCCTTCAACACAAAAACGAAAACGCAAGCTTTCAAGCATTTCATCATTTCATCGGCTTGCGGGTCTTGGCCTTTGGTCAGCACCTCTTATGGGACGGGACGCAGGTGATCCATGGTGATCCTATTGTGGCCACCGCCGGTGGATAAACGGCACATATTTCCGCGAGGGCCGAAATCCCATGTTCTCATGCGAGTCTGGAGCCCGAGGTGCGGAAGATCAGCCAGGTCCGCAGCGTCAAGAAGGACGAGAGTTCACCTTTCGACCTTTTGCCTTTTGCCCTCGACGGTCAGAGGTTTTGGGGGTGGGTCATGATGGCGTAGCAGTGTTGGTCGAACTAAGAAGAAGAAGAAGTAGTGGTCATGAGATGACAACCACAACGGCAATCGGGACGCGACGAAATATACCGACGCAAGCCAAGGTAGAAAGACAACACTGACAAGGTAACAATACCAGTGCCAAGAACAATCGAAAGTTGAAAATGGTGGTGGCAGTGGCAGTAGGAGTACCTCGGTTCTTTGGTTTGTCTCTTTGCGGCCGCACAGACTAAACCGACTCTACAAGGTGCAGAAGGACGGAATGCCATGGAACCGAACACCTGAATCCGATTTACAGATTAAATTTGGACCGTGCGTCAACTGCACTCTGCGCCCTGAGCCTTTGAATTTCTAAGTCCCTTGCGTAATGTAAACCGGTCAGCCTTTTGTGGGCCAGGGTGCCCTAAACCCTTGACGCCAAACTCTGAACCCGAGACCTGAGATACTACAGGGGCCTAAATAACTACCAATACTGTTTTGGGGATCCCTTATTGTAAGTAGAGTACAACATGCCCCCAAACCCTATTTTGACCATCAAGGCCCCCATATTAATCCCTTATCACACCCCTTACAGGAACCCGTTAAAGGAACCCCATTTTAATAGTTAAGGCTCCTATACTGTTGCACCCGGAGGATTTCAAGGAGATGGCCAAGAGCAAGGCCGCCTTGTTCCTGTCGCCGCTGCCCACGCCGAACTCGCCGCCCCGAGCGGTGCCAGGGCAAAAGCAAGGGAGTTCCCGAAAATTAGGGGTACCTCATCTTGGGGTCTTTAAAATGAGGATCCTACCATTTAGGGTACTATACTAGGGTCCCCTATTTTCGGAAACTCCCATTCGGGGATGAGCCCAGCACTAGAAACATGGATAAGGGCTCTATACCCTAAGCCCCAGATTGGAAGCTTTAGGCTTTGTTGAAAGATGTACAGGCTGTAACAAAGTAAATCCTAACACAAACTCCAAGCCCGTAGCAAGTGCTGTTGATCCATTAGGAGCCCCAGAACAGCTTCGCCCCTGTTTCGCAAAGCCTGCGCAAGGGGCCAACACCCAACCCACAGTCCGAACCCGGCCGCGGGCTTAGGACGTAGGGCCTCTAAAGAGATCTCACTGCCAAATCAGGCATCCTGGCGTGACGACCTTGTTCCCAACTTCAGACTCTTGGCCCCCTCCTCAGCATGAAGGGATGAGGGGCGGGGGCCGGGGCAATGTGGTTTGGGCAGGAACTCAGAAAGACAGGCTATGGTAGCTCCGCGCACGATTGTACTTTGACGACTGTTTTCGTTGGTCAATTGCTGACTACTTTCATACATTCTGGCCACCACTGCCACAACTACAACAACTACCCCTACTGCTGCTGCCGCCACTGCCACCGCCACCGCCACCGCCGCCGCCGCCGCCGCCCCCACCACCACCACCACCACCACCACCACCACCACCACCACCACCACCACCACCACCACCACCACCACCACCACCACCACCACCACCACCACCACCACCACCACCACCACCACCACCACCATCAGTAGTGACTTGTGACAACAACTACGAGGACCCTGCGACTACTGTTAGCACTCACTGGCAGCACACATAAACAGGCCCAGAGTCGCCACAATACTAATGGTGAAGATGGTGGTGAGATGGATGGTGCTGATGGCGACGGTGGTCATGATGATAATGCTGATGCTGTTGACGACCATGATCATGATGATGTCGATGACGATATCGTCTTGAACAATTCCTACCAATTCCTGCAGTTAGTTGTTTCATGGTCCGTCGAGTATATCTCACAATGAATCTTAGTCTGCTCAATGGCATGGGCAGGAACTGCGGTAATGCTGGCAATCTCAACCCTGAGATGACATTTCACATGGAACAGTCGCGATGCGCACAAACCCCTCTGTTGCAAAAGGTTTCATGCTGCTGACGCATAGCTTCAACAAAAGTCGGCGCATAGGCAGAATCTATACCCACATCAGAACTGTCCAAAGCTGTCGGAAACCCCAAACCAAAAATGCGGTTTCCTGTAGAGGCCTAAATAATTACTTATACCATTCTGGGGGTTCCTTATTATACTTATAGCATACCGGGCCCCAAAACCCTATTCTAGTTATTAAGGCCCCTACATGAAGCTTCTTGCACAGTACTAGATAATTACGTATACTATTCTGGGGTTTCTTATTGTAGACTGGGTCCAAAAAACCCTCTTCTAATTATTAAGGCCCCTACACTAAGCTTCTTGCACAGTACTTCGAGGATCGGCGGGGTGCCTTTGGTCAGTCGCGGGGACATTGGTCACTGCACCGTGGCTGCCCGCTAAACTGCCAGACCCCCTTCGGTAGTACTGTTGATGATGTAAATCCTGAATTTCCCATAATTCCCATAGTTTAGGGTCCTTAAGAGAATGCAGGATGTATATCATCAACCGTAGGGACAAAAGCGCGAATCACTTCAGTGAGTTCCGTTTCAGTTCCCTCAGGAGTGGGTCTAAAGGGGCATGGAAGTTCTCTGGATCTTCACTTAGCGTGGGCTTGGAAGACGAAGGGGACATTGTCCTCGTCAAAGCATCGTCGAAACGAACTTGCTGCTGAAGCGCTGAGGCACAACATCATGTCCCGCACCTTCGGAAGAATCCTTGCTCAACTTCAGTCTACATGCTCGGGGATTGAGGTGCCACTATTTTCCAGCCGTGAACTGTGATGTCACCACCTTTCACACTGTTTCGAATCTCCCAAACATAAACGGAACCCTGCAGTTTTCATGTCTATCCTCTGAGGAACAAAGGAGAAGGGAAAGGATACGGCTGACCAGGTGAGCTCGCTCCTGGTGGAAGCTCTTGGGATGGCATATTAGGGTCTTTGGGGCCTTAGGAGGGCTTTTTGGGGTTGAAGGGTCTTCGGCCTGAGGCTTCGGGTTTAGGGTCTCGAGTCGCTCAAGTCTTCAGGCTTTAGGGATTTAGGGTTTCGGGCGGGTTTAGGCCAGTTTAGGCTGTTCTGGGGGTCGTTTGGAGCAACCCTTCACAGGTGCACAACAATGAATAGATTCTAGCAGGTTTCAGTAGTATGAGTAACAATAACATTACTGATAAGAAGACGAAGAATAAGGATCCCATGGATTATAGGGTTTCTTGATTGGGGTCCTTCATTTTCTGAAAGTCCCGTTCCTGAACCTACAATGCAGGTACGGTAGAGTTGGCAATCCCCGGCGACCCTGACCGCCCCAACCCTGAATGAGAGCTTTGGCTGAGGACATGTACCATACCTTTCTGGATGCCAAGATCTCCGTACAGCTGTTCTTTTTCTTGGTGCTCTACGTGGTGCTTTTCTGGCTCTATGCTTTCATTTACCTGTTCATCAGTGCCTCGGCGGTAGCCCCCCCAAGGTTCAGTTGCAAGAGGCCGCTCGGAATCTCTTGTCGCGGGATCTAGGCCCGTGATGGTTACCTCAACAATTACCTATATTTTTTTTGGGAGTTCCTTATTTACAATCATAATATTTTGGGCCCCCAAAACCCAAGCTTCAACCTTAAGGCAAGCCTTGCGGCCTAGAACTGGAGGGGCATCTGATCAAGGCGCTTCTTGGCTGGTCCTTGGATTTTTACAGGGAGACTCTGCGCACAGGACTTTAGAGGTTGGGTCGTAGAGTTTTCGGTGTCGTTGAGCAGTTTGCACAGATGTAGCCAGTGCAGCGCTCAGTTTTTTTTGCTCAGGTGCTTCCTTGGGGTTCCTTTCTTGGGGAGCCGGGGAGCCTCGTAGGTTCTGGCAAGGGGTGGCTGTTTGGTTTGGGAATCGGGCAGTGAGGTATCTTCTGTCGCTGGAGACCATGCTGACAATCGGCTATGGTATTCCGGACCCGTACATGAAGGGCTGCTGGCAGGGTCCTTTTGCCGCAGCCTCAATCTATTGGGCAGCACAGAGCCTAGAAAGTGACTAGTGTTGCCGGCCACGCAGCATGATACACGTAAACCGAGGTGCTCACGTCACAGCTGCTTCTGAACTTAATCATTAGCGCCTTGCTCATTGGCGTCATCTTCCAGGCAGTGTGGGTATCGCGAAGGTAGGTGCATTTGATTGAATAGATTGTCTCAGTAGCTGTACTCATAAAATGTGCTGGTCCTTCATAATCACGTGTTGCCTCCGCAGGGAATCGCACGGCCGCAGTCGAGGGCTTGCACCATTCTCTGCAGTGACAAGGCAATCATTCGCCGCTTGACAGCACATCTTGTTGGAGTTGGAACCTCGAGGGTATATTTCCAATGCGATTCCCCCCAAGGCCCACCCTGTTCGCTCAGCAACCTTGCTTCTTGCATCTCAGGATGCATCGATGGAGCATACTACTTCATGTTCCGAGTATGCGACTTGCGGTCGCAGCATGCGCTGGTGGAGCCGCACATCCGCTGCTACTGCGTGGAGCAGAGTGACATCCGAGGTGGCCCTTCTCAGGTTCTGGAACGTATCTGTGTTTTGAGTCTTTCGGGTGGGCTGGTCATCTTCCTCGACAGGGAGTTCTTGCAGGTTTGAAGCATTTTGAATCAGCATGCGGACTGAAAGTATCAAGACCTACTTGCACCGAAACAAGCCTTATGGTCCTTGCTGGGTGCACGTATGCGCCTATATGGGTCCATATGCAAGCGAGCGTACATAGTTGCATACTCATGCTTTACTTTCCTGTCAGTTGCAGCCTCGCCGCTGACGGAGTCCTCTGAGATTCTAATTCTAATTGAGATCGTTGCTGAACTCGGTAGTGCTACCAGCCCCCAAGTCCAACATCGTAGTCTCAGACAGTGAAAGGGATGCAAGGCTCCAGGTCGATGTGTGTAACATGCTCACGAAGCAAAGGCCTTAGATGCTTCACACTGTTTGGGCCCTCTGCGCGAGACATTTTGCAAGACCCAAGATCCAAGAGATCCAATTTGCCGAAGGTTTTGAGACCACACAGATGCGATTGCTGCAGCCGGACGACGAGCCGCAAGCTGAGACGGTTCGTGTCGCGTGTGCATCGCTGCCTCTATCTGCGTGTGTGTGTGTGTGTGTGTGTAAGCCTCGATTCTAAGCTAGAGGTCTTTGGTGCATCCAGTACTGCATCGTTCTTTTTGTCAGCAGGGGGGCAGTGCATGCCTGACAGTCACTGCCCAACGAAGACACTGTCAGTGCATGGTGATATCTGGCCTGATCAGCCAGACGTACCTGCTTTAGGATTGAATGGCAACCAGGCCAAGCCAAAAACCTGGCAAGCCGAACTGTATGCTCATGTGTGTTTCGAGGACTTTAAGGTTCATGTCGCATTGTCAGGATCGTCACAATAAAGCTATCAGGTTATCGTCGACTATATCAACATATTATGGCAAAACTGGAAGTGAATGGTTCAGTCCTGATGGACTCCCAAACTCCGTGTGTGGCCTTGTCGCCAACGGCAACAACCGCTCCTGCGGACTGCCAGGGTACGTTTTGCGGCCCATGATGGTAACATAACAGGCCGTACTCCTTCGGGACAGGTCAATGGTGCAACGGCAATATAAAGAGTGGCCCTTTTCTTGTCAGGTGATGGGTCTAAGTGCTCCGAGTGAGCAACCGGAACGAAAGTGCCCCGATTGGTCAGGTGATGGGCTTGCGTGGCCACTGGCCCTACAGTGGCTCTAGCAGTCTTGAATAACGAAAGAAGCAGAGACACCGAAGATGATGTGGCAGCATCTTGGCTTGATTTTTTGCAGCTTTTCGCGTTGTGAACATGGAGTGGTTGCCAGACGCGTGTTTTCTCAGTCTGTCAGCCGAGCTATCGTCATCTTCTCTCGCTCTCTCCCCCCTCTCTCCTCTTTCTGGTCGTCTGTCAGCCGAGCTATCGTCTTCTTTTCTCGCTTTCTCTCCTTTTCTCTCCGACGACGACGATGACGATGATGACCATACTAAGGACCGCGTGTCTTCTCAGTTTGTCGGCCGAGCTATCGTCATTTTTCTCGCTCTCTCCCCCTCTCTCCTCTTTCTGGTCGTCTGTCAGCCGAGCTATCGTCTTCCTTTCTCGCTTTCTCTCCTTTTCTCTCCGACGACGACGATGACGACGATGACCATACTAAGGACCGCGTGTCTTCTCAGTCTGTCAGCCGAGCTATCGTCATCTTTTCTCGCTCTCTCTCCCCTCTTTCCTCTTTCTGGTCGTCTGTCAGCCGAGCTATCGTCTTCTTTTCTCGCTTTCTCTCCTTTTCTCTCCGACGACGACGATGACGACGATGACCATACTAAGGAACGACAACAAAGCGAGCCTCAGGACGATTGGACGCAGGACTCAGGACTTTCCCCTCACTGAGGGGTGTGTGTGTGTAAGCCTCGATTCTTTACTAGAGGTCTTTGGTGCATCCAGTACTGCATCGTTCTTTTTGTCAGCAGGGGGGCAGTGCATGCCTGACAGTCACTGCCCAACGAAGACACTGTCAGTGCATGGTGATATCTGGCCTGATCAGCCAGACGTACCTGCTTTAGGATTGAATGGCAACCAGGCCAAGCCAAAAACCTGGCAAGCCGAACTGTATGCTCATGTGTGTTTCGAGGACTTTAAGGTTCATGTCGCATTGTCAGGATCGTCACAATAAAGCTATCAGGTTATCGTCGACTATATCAACATATTATGGCAAAACTGGAAGTGAATGGTTCAGTCCTGATGGACTCCCAAACTCCGTGTGTGTGTGTGTGTGCGCGTGCATGCAAGGATTGCAGTACGGTGGGGTTTTGGTTCAGGGTTAGGGTTTCACGTCTTCGCATCGCCCTTGATATCACGTGGAACCACCGCCGTGGGTCTGCCAGAGTGGGTTGCTTTTAAGTGTCTGAAGACCTCCAACCCAACCGGCAGCCAGCGAACGGTCTCCGGGCTTGTGGAATCTGCCATAATTTGTGTCAGTCTGACGAGTGGTCGGATGACAGGGGTGCAAGATAGATAGTGTCATACTCAAACGGGATCTTGTTTTTTTTTGTTGTTTTAATCTGCAGTTGTTCAACTGTTTGAGGGTTGATATGGTTATGCGAAGAATACACAAACTTCGGGCATTACCAGTCTTAAATACTATGGTCTAGGCTCCATGTTAGTCGCGGAGGGGAGCAGCAGCGCATCATTGGTAGTGCTGCCTGTGCTGGTGGTCGCTGACAGGTGTTGTTGGTCAGCTGTTGTATGAGCGGTTTCGATGATCCAATCTTCATCATTGTCGCATCATTCGTCTTCATCACGGCAGATGTTGCCGACTATTGACTATTGTCAGGCTTGGGGCCACACTGCTGCTTTCGATGCCGAGACTTGGTCGAATGCTGGATTCCCACTCTCGAAAGTGCAAGCCCAAGACTTTCTGATACCCCCTGCTCCCCCAGAAAGAAAGCTTGAAATCCTAGAATCCGTCGACGTTGTTGAACCGATAGGCCTTGCAACACGACCCTCACGAATCCGCACCAATGTAGTTTGGAAAGCTGATGGTAGGATTTTGGTGACATGGGCACTGATGGTGGGTGCTGATCATGACAACCACGGTGGTGATGAAGATGGAAGCATCGTTCTCGTTTTACTCGCATTTGCAAGGGTACTTGTCCTGCTACGACTATGTTGTCTTATCAGTCATCAAATATTCTGTAATTGAAACTTATATGTGCCCTTAATGGCCAAGCCTCAGCATTGTTCTTGCTAGCGTTTCCGACAATCCTGATCAACTATGTGGTTTGTTCAGGTTCTGCTTGTGCTGGTTTATGCATGCTTTTGCACTCCTTGTTTCCGAAAGCCCCGATGAACCCCGAAACTTAAACCACGTGAACCCCAGGAGTATGTTCATGTGAGGCCGTTCATCCTACACCATCTACCATGGCCTATATCTCGTAACCTTCACGAAGATACAGTTCAGGACACCGTCACCTTGAGCCCCTAAGCCGAAATACTCTTCTGCCCCCTAAGCCTAAATACTCTGCTGCCCAGGAGTGGTGCATAATATAAGAGCCTTAATAGCTACCCATACTATTTTCTTTTTTTTTTTTTTGGGGGGGGGGTTCCTTATTATGGTTATAGTATAATCGGCCCCCAAACCCCATGCTTCTTATTAAGGCCCCTGTGTTACCCAACGAGTTCCGAGCATCGGCCCAGGTCGATGTAACATCCTGAACCCTAGCCAATATGAGGGTTTCCGAGAATTAGTGGTACCTTCTTTTGGGGTCCTTATAGTAAGGATCCTACGATTTAGGGTACTATATTAGGGTCCCCCATTTTCGGAGACTCCCATATCACCTACAGCCGAAACCCCAAACTGGAATCCCATGGGCTGCAGATGCATCGAGGCTTTCAGGCTAACCTCCAAACCCTCCTCAGTACTATAGAGGCCTCAATAACTACCAACACTATTCTGAGGGCTCCTTATTATAATCATAGTATACGGGGGCTTAAAACCCCATTCTAATTATTAAGGCCCCTATATTATGGTACCCTAATAGAGTTCCGTTACAGTAACCCTTAAATAGAGCCATTGAAAGGAACCCTATTCGAACTATTAAGGCCAGACCACACCATCTCATAAACCCTAAACCCTAGACCCTAAGCTCAGGAGTATTGTGGTCCACCGGATAGATGCCTGGAGTCCTTTGGCGCCCCATCGACCGTGCCTCGCGCAAGTGATCTTCAGAAGCGAAGCCTGAAGAGTTCGGCTGGCAATACTGCTTAATATGGTGGCCTTAATAATTACCTATGCTCTTTCGGAGGTTCCTTAGTAGAATTACAGTAGAATATACTCCACCCCCCCAAAAAAAACTATTCTAGTTACCAAGGCCCCTATATTACAATGCTTGACACAGTAGGATTGCCGTTCTCACTATCAAGGGTAACTGGAGTTCGCATAGGAAGTAGAAAAGTAGACTTAGTTTCCGAAGCGGCAATAGCTAGTTGCATGGTGGCAGTATCATGTCCTGCCCCGACACAAGGAGCGGCGAGAAGCCAAGCCAGCCGAAGGTGTTGCGGGAAAGGCCGGACCACGGCCTGGCATGTAGGTTCTGTAATGTAGGAACCTGATGGCCTTTGTTAGGGTTCCTTATATGAATCCTACTATGTTGGGGTTACAGGCCCAGGGTTTCTTAATCAGGTTCCTACACGATGGATGTTGGCCCCTCTGCATGTGGTGTCTATGCAAGGCCAACAATCCAATGGAGGTTGAAACCGTGCATGCTCGTCCACAAGCACGTCGAAGAAGCACAAACATTCCAGCGTAAGCCTTGAGCTGCATGCCCCAAAACTGCCTGCAACGTCACCAAACCCGCAAGCCACAATTCCAAGACCCGAAGTCTTCTTGAGCCGATAGGTCCGGAACCATGGCGGCTTCGCTTGGAGTCCCGGAGCGGCCCAGCTGGGGCAGGCCAGCGAGTTTGCAGTGGCGTCCAGGGCTTCGGCTTTGGTTGAAGATCATATCGGCATACCTGGGCCGATGGCAACAAGCGAGAAATCAGATGAGGACTAAAGGACACTACTGCTTCTGGCGCTGCTGCTGCTCCTGCTGCTGCTGCACGAGTGTGACGAAGATTATCTCTGCCACGACGACGACTACATACCGCATCCGCAAAGGGCAGCACTATCAATTGCTGCTGCTGCTGCTGCTGCTGCTGCTGATACAACAACAAGGCAACCGCCGCCGCCACCGCCACCACCACCACCACCACCACCACCACCACCACCACCACCACCACCACCACCACCACCACCACCACCACCACCACCACCACCACCACCACCACCACCACCACCACCACGACCACAACTACCACGATCACGACCACTAGCAGGGCACCACCACCACCACCACCACCACCATCACCACCATCACCACCGCCACACCGCCACACCGCCACACCGCCACACCGCCACACCGCCACACCGCCACACCGCCACACCGCCACACCGCCACACCGCGCCACCGCCACCGCAGCAAGGACGACAACTGCTGCTGCTGCTACTACTGCCACTACTGCTGCTGCTACTGCTAAAGCTATTGCTCCCACTACCACTCCCACTGAAACTACGACTACCACTACCACTAGCCCTAGCGCTAGCACTAGCACTAGCACTAGCACTAGGACCAGTGCTAGTATTGCTACTACGACTCATACTCCTCCTGCTGCTACTTCTACTTCTACTTCTACTTCTAGTTCTGCTTCTGCTTCTGCTTCTACTTCTACTTCTACTTCTCCTACTCCTACTCCTACTCCTACTCCTACTCCTACTCCTACTACTACTACTACACGACACTACTACTACTACTACCACTACTCCACTACCACTACCACTACACTACACTACCACTACTACTACTACTATACTACTACTACTACTACTACTACTACTACTACTACTACTACTACTACGACTACTACGACTACTACGACTACTACGACTACTACGACTACTACTACTACTACTACTACTACTACTACTGCTACTACTACTACGGCGACGAGTACTGCTACTGCAGTTACTTCTTCTACTTCTGAGAGATCTACTTCTCCTTCTTGAGGTGCGACGACGGCAGTGGTGACGACGGTTTTGTTGCGTCAATGTATGGAAGGTAAGCGAAGGACGAAAGCCAAGCGAATGTAACTACTACTGACCACGATGACGTGGACCACGACGACGACCACTACTACCACTACTCCTGATTCTACTCCGCCTGCTGCTGTTAATGCGGCGGTTGACTGAATATGCGGATGCAAGTGCAGCTGCCGCTGCTAGCTGTTCCTACATACATCTACCGCAACCGACAACACAAAAGTGTTTCCCAGACAATGCATCATCACCTTCTGCACCAGCACCATTCAGATCATCGCGATGTAAGCGTAAGACGAGCAGCTAGGCATCGCAACGGAAATGCATCGCCAAAGAACTGAAGTGCAACTGGGGTCGCCCTACGATCACCCTAAGCCCTCGGACCAAAGAAACCCTAAGCCCCAAACCCCCAAACCAGGATCCCTGAGCCCTAAACCCCAAAAGCCCAGAGCCACCATGCCAGCGACCTGCGCGCAAGGCAGGTCAGCGAAGGAGGCGTTCCCCTTCCGAGGCCTGGACAGCCGGAGAGAAGAGCGGACACCAAAGGACTGAGGTCCGCCAGCAGAGCCATGGCTGCGGTGAAGACACCTAGGATCTTAGGAGTACTTAGAAATAGTTTTTAAATTTGCTCTAAGTTCAGTATGGATGCCCAGTAGTAGCCTTATTCCCTTTGTGTAGTCCTAGGTTCCTTATAAAGGTACCCAATACCAAATAAAAAGGAGCCCTTTTCATTTCTATTCTACTGGGCATCCTAGACACAGAGGGTTCAGGAATGAAGGGTTTGCGGGTGGTTTAAAAGGTTAGATGAGGGCAGTTCAGGTGAGTTAGGGGGGTCAAGGGTTGGGGCCGAGGGCTGCGGATATGGGCTTAGGTCGATGCGTCTTGCTGGCTGCCTGTCCATGCTTGCCCTGTCCAGACAAATCGACCCCACCCCAACGCAGTCGCCTACACGTAAGCAGTCGACCCTAAGCCCTCATAAAAAAACCTCACACCCAAACTACCCTGATTGCACTGCACGCGTTCTCTCATGTCCGAGTCGCCCGACAGTGGATGTTTTGGCGAGGCCTTTAGTCCCAAGTTTGGGGGGTTAAATGCGCATGCTTGAAAACTAAGCTCGAAACCTGTATGGCCTTATGAGTTGTGCTGATGGGGTGTCGGAGTTTAGGATTTGGGGTGGCCAATAAATGGGAAAGCCAACGGAATCTTGCAGTTGATTGCCATTCTGCTGCTCTTTGATTGCACAGTGGCTTACAGGATTTCGAGGTCCCGTTTGGGAACAACTTGTCTGCGGCCTCTGTCTTGGGTCACTGCTGCTACAAGCATAGGTGCTCATGCCGCCTATTCTTTCCCTCTTCTTCGTTCCACCTACCCCTACACTGTGAGCTTCGCATGGTGCACCTTTGCCCCCCTAGATTTAGACTCCTTCTTACCACGAGCTCCCCCGATGCCCCGGGTTGCAGTGCTATCAGCAGCTCTGGGGCGCGGCTGCCTGTTGCCAAGGTGGAGACTTCACCAACATGTTTCAGAGCGCGACGAAACCTCGGGAGCGTGGTGCTGGAAGCTTGACTGGCATTGGGTGGATGCGGCTTCATACATGAAGAGCAGTTCATGGCACACGGAGAAGGGATCACCATGCTGGTCAGCGGTTGAAAGCATTTTATTGCTGCGACTACTTCGGGCATCAGTTGCGAAATAAAATCCAGAAGCGCCCGTATATATATATATATATATATATATATATATAGATCTAAATATACACACACATACACATATATACACATACACATATATACGCATACATATATACGTATTATCTATATATATATATATATATGTATAGATGTAGATATAGATATAGTCCCAAGGCTTCGAGGAAAACCTCCGCATCCGGCGATGGCCGTGGCCCCGGCAGCGGCAGGCAAACAGCGAGGTCGGCAACGGGGACAGCTGTGCCCCGGAGAAGAACCGAGAGAACCCAATACCCCTTAATTGAGGGATATGCTTTAAATCATCCTTCATAAAGGGGTATTGGGATCTTTGGGGAAGGGTGCTGGGCCGTCAGGAGGCCGGTCGGCTTCCGGGGACGAACCGAGTCGACTTTGCCAGGACATGCTGCGACTGCTGTCTTTGCTGGGGCTCAGGTGCGGAGGAGTCTAGGAACTTGAACCAGCAGAAGTCAAACGGAACAGGCCGCGAGAGCTGCAGCATGTCGAAGCTGCAGATTTGTACATGCCACGGCAATGCATGGTTCAGAAGCACAGGTCTCGTATATCTTGAGAGACTTTGAGAGACAGGGTCATCGACAGGCATCGTGATATGCTGTAACATGCGTGCCATCTCAGGTGCTTGCCCCACTTGCGGCGAGACCTTCCCGACTGCTTCTTGACGGATTTTCAGGGTTCAGTTTTGAGGTCCAAGGGTAGCGCCGTGCTTTGACACTACGCTGGCACATCCAGGTTTGCAGAGTGAGATGTGCTTCAACCATGAACGAGCATGCCGGGAGCCGGGCATTCGCGTGTTCCATCCCAAAGGCTGAGACGCTGAAGCGGCACTGCCGCTACAATGCTGCGCAAGACGAGATCAGCCAGCTTCCTGAAAAGGCACCGGGCCGGGCCGGTCATTCGGGGCAGATGTGGGAGTGCAGAGTGCTGAGACAGTCAGAGACCACTTGGCAGTCCGAAGGCTCAGGGCTTTGTCGGTGTAGCTGCGTCGTGCCTAGGCTGTGTGGGCCAGCATGCTGATGACCATGTTGGGCATAGTTCAGTGTCGGTGCACATTGGTCAGGACAGCCCGACAACCACGTTCTCTAGAAGACAAAGTCTGCACAAAGCATGCCGGAATGTAAGCGAGGTTCGTGCTGATCACCATAAACAGAGCAGAGCTGAGCAGCAACAGCTGCTACTATATGCAACATGTAACAAGGGCAGTGGTATCGATGTGACTGGCCGCGGTGTTGATCTTCTCTTCTTACTGTTGCAGCAAGTGGTGGTAGCAGCAGCAGGAGGAGTGGTGTGAGCGGTGGTCGTCGTCGTCGTCGTGTTAGAGTGCGTCCTCGTCTTGGGCCTGCTCGCCGTCTGCGGTCTTCGTCATCGTCGTAGTAGAGTAGCGGTAGTCGCCATACTAGCAGTAGTAGCAGCAGTAGCAGCCGTCGTCGTCGTCGTCGCCGTCATGACGGTAGGTAGTGATAGTGGTCCGAGTGGTAGAGTGGCAGAGAGGTACAGTGGTAGCAGCATCAGTGGCAGCAGCAGCAGCAGGAGGAGGAGTAGCAGTAGTAGGAGCAGCAGCCAAAGTAGCAGGAGCAACAGCAGCAGTAGCAACAACAGAAGGAGAAGTAGATGTAGAAGTACTTGCAGCCCCTGACAACTGAGAGCTCCCAAACTAGACAGGCACGGCACAAAGAGCTCACAAAGAAAGAGCTCGAGGCATTGTGCCACAGAGCCTTTGACTGGGCTTCATTTAGATTTCGGTACGTTATTTTGATTTGCACTGTACCACTGGATCACATGTGTATAGAAATAGAAGCAACCAGCAACACTATTAACGGTTGGGGCCTAAAAGGGGTTCTCGAGGGTCCGGTAAACTGTTTCCGTTTGAACCAAGCATGTCCGGGCTTTCACGCGGGTCTTACGGAATATGAGGCTCAGCACTGACTGGTATTCAGATGTCCTGACTGGCTTTGATGAGTTTTCTCTGTTTTCTTGTCTCACCCAAGGTGACCCGACGAAAGAGGACATTGGCAGCTGGGCAGAAGCCGGTTCAAAGATACCAACGATACGGATAACTCCTGCAACGGTCTCGATTGTTTAGGTTTCGAGTTTGGGCGTACTTTGATCCTTGCTTCGATTGGTAGCAGTAGCCACGGCATGCAGAGAAAGATAAGTCATGCCAGTTGTACAAGCAATAGTAGCAACCGCCAAGGAGGTCAGCGGCATGTTCCCGGAAATCACAAGCCCTATTGTTCGATTCCGTGCCTCGCAGTTCGGGGTCTGCAACTGGTTCTGTTCCACACAGCGCGGATGCAATAGACCGTCCCTATGTGCCTTCCACTGCTAAGACTTGCTTTACTCTACGCCGAGCTTTGAGGGTCCAAACACATGAAAGATTGCAACGCGCGCCGCAAGGCGCCTACTTGGGGAAGAGTTTCAAGGAGGTCGTTGCGCCTTAGTCGCAAGAGCCCAGGGCATTCTGTTTCGGAGCGCGAAGGGTTACGGTTCAGGATTCAGCGGATTCAGCCTTCCAGGATAGTATCATAAGTATTGAGGCGCTTGTTCAGGTCCCGGGGTTATCTGAAGCCTCAGGGTCGAAGGCAAGACGCCCTAGTAAGAGGCCTCGAGATTGAAAGCTTCGGCCGTGAGCCCTGCAAGCCTGGCGGCCCTCACCTGTATACTCGAACGTGTTCGGGGTGCAGGGTTTAGGGTGGGTTTGTGCTTCAGGGTTTGGGGTTTAGGCTCAAGCTGGGGTTTGGGATTGAGCGGGTTTGGTACAGCAACAGCCTGCTCGAGCAGAGGTCCTCGTCGAGGGCATCGAGCCAACTACTTCGGCGACGTTGCAAAGCCGACACTCCTACCTAGCTGCTTGGGCTGAGAGTACTGATATGTTGTTCTCTGGCTTGGTTTGCGTATTGTCGCTCTATTCGTACATGTTCTTGTTCATCGGAGTTGCTGGCGTTGGGGTTTGCAGTTCTCGTCGCAATAGCAGTCGCAGCGGCAGCATATGACGACGACTGCTACATTTGCTGCGACTGCTGCTGTTAAGAGTGAACGCCTCAAGTGCGAGGCTAATCAAGCCACAGCATCAGACGTTGCAAGACTGATATTGTACATTTCCATCGCTAAGCGCCAACATCAGCGTGGTAGCGACAATGACTCAGATATTTTGTTGCTTAAAACTTGGAAGTTCGAAATGCTTGGCATCTCGGTCCCCGTCTGAGGTTGGCCCCCCAGAGGCGACGGACACGGACACGGCCACTTGTCACCTCTCGGAAAAGCTCGTGGCGATGATACACCAAGGTTTTCGTGATGTAGAACGAACGGTTTTCCTGGCTTGCACGTCGTGCCCTTCGGAGAAGCTCCAAATTCAACATCCTGCCCGAAGGACGGAACTGATCTACTTAGTTGCTGTGCATAACATAGAAGTATAGCCCATCATCAGTAGAGTATGGAATCTCTGGTTTCACTCCTTTTACTAGCTCTTGAAGTATGTGGGTTCGGCTGAGTGTGAAACTGTCTTTGCAAGCTCGCCCAAAGGCCTGGGACATGGACTTTGTCGACTGCATCATGGTTCCGGAAGATGAGGACAGTGAGTTGAATATCGGGGCCTTGATACATTTAGAACAGGTATGTTCAGAATAATGAGCCTTGAGGCAGTGTGTTTTCAAGTTTATAGTCGAGACAGCACGTCTTAGAGTCGTAGACTCTCTGCTTGCAACCGGCGAGGACCCTAAAGTCTTGCGTCCCCCAGGCCCACGCCCATCAATCCGGCATTAAAGCCGAGATCCCTGAATCCCTCCAAGCTCCGATCTCCGCAAACCCAAACCCTAAAGCCACACATCGCCCCAACTCCTCAACCCCAAAACACCAAATCCCGTCGAACCCTGTGCTTTTCAGCCTCAAGCCCAACCCCAAAAGCCACAACACATCCAAAACCTAAACCAACCTACACCGCGGTAGAACCCCTTTGGAAAGCTTGCAGAACGCCTGCAGAGCCCTTGTAAAATCCTTACAGCATCCAGTGAAAGACCTTAAACCCGAGACCCTCCGTCAATAAGAAACAGATCCCTTATAGACCCCTGTAAGGAACCCTTTTAAGGGAACCCTATTTTCATTTTAATGCTATGCCGCCCGCCTCGGCTCCTGAGGTGCAGGGGCCGGATGAAACCGCAAAGCCTTCTGTATCATTCAGGAAACCTGTTCAGGTCACGGCTATATGGAGATTTCTGAGCAGGACTCCCACGATTCAACAGGTGCGGCGGTGCCATTGAGCTGCTTTTCAGCGAGACATGTCAGCGTGCGGCAAGAGGAGCGAACATCGGCCACGCGCGGCAGGTTACTGGGCAGGAGCAAAAAGCATCAAACAAGAGCAGGAAAAGATGGGATCGGGGGGGAAATGCTGGAATATCAGGTAAAATGAAGGGCAGCCGGGCAAGGGGGTGGCAAGTGAATGCAAAAAGCGGGTCTCCAAACTTTCGGGTAACCCCCAAGACGCCTGGGCCTGTGGCCTCGGCGGATTATTAAGGCCCCTGCCATCTATTTTGTTAAAATTGCTATAACTTTTTTTAGTATTAATGCTTTTTCAATAATTTGTTTTTCTGAGACACTTCGGGACGCAGGAAGATAGTGGCCTCGGAGTGGACCTCGGAAGGTGCGGAAAGGGTGCTGTAGTCGGGTACTTAGAGGATCATGGGACTTAGTAAGTAGGGTTATAAGTACCTTAGTTAAGGTTATAACTAGATATAATTATAGTTACCCTACTTATAACCCTACTTGCTAAGTCCCCTGATCCTCCAAGTATTGCGGCGGCTTTTTAAACTCACACCCCTTTCAACTTAAGCGCCAGACCTGTTTGTACTAAGCTGATGAAGTCTTGTGACGGTAGGGATTGTAACCTTACCACCATGTCTAAACGGCCAATCCTCTGAGCCGGAGCACTCAGCCCGAACGGGCGAATAGCGCGAACAGGGGTTGGGGGTTGGATAGCCTTTTAGCAGGGCTTGACAGGTTTTTGTTAGGGCTGTATAGGGGTCAGCAGCAGGTTTGAGGCTGTAGGACTTTAGGACTCAAGTTGCTGCTTGAGGATGTTTAGGGCTTTGGGTGGGTTTATGGTTCTGTAGCAGTGGTAATCGCAACAGAAGCAGCATCGCACCTGCAACAGAGGTACCAACCTTCGGCCAAGGCTTACGACAGAAGCAGTGACAATAGTTAATGGCGGCATGGTTAAATAATGACTGACAGGTGACACCTAAAAAGTGCTGCTACTGGATTGCATCGATTGCACTATCGTGACCTCGGGTTCCAGAACAGGGGTTCACGTTGATGCAGGGCTTCATGCTCTGGGGGCGATGGTTCTGGACGCAGGGGTGGGGGAGTGATGGTTTTGTGTTTTTTCCACAAAGTCAGCGAACTTGAGATTTCAAGGTTTATTCTTTTCGTCTTGGTGATTCTCTTGGGATTACGCGCTGACGATTTAGGATCTGTGAGCTCTGGTTTGAGAGTTTCGGCTGCACGGGTCGTGGGATGAGTAGTTGAAAAGTCACAAGAGTAAGGACATCATTGCTAGTTACATGTATCGAACTGAGGTTTGGCCGGATCCTAAAGCTAGAACAAACTGATGCAAGTGTTTTTTTGTTCCGCATATGCGACTTCGAAGACTTATCTCCTGCTCCTGCTGCTGCTCCTGTACCATGGCAAAAGCGGTGGCGACCCCACGCCCCCAACAACGACTACTGCTCGTGGCACTGGTGCTGCTGCTGCTGCTACTATTACAGCTTGCTAGGTACAACGCCCATGCATGTAGCAGACTGAAGCTGCACACTAGTCAAAGCAATCGTCAGAGCTACAGCGAACGTATTGCGCGGTCATTCTTAGACCATAGTGAACCTAGTTGCCACAGTAATCATACGGATCTTTGGCATGAGTCGTCTGCAATATTTTGTGAATCTTCAATAGAGCCGATCCTTATTATACGATAAGTATAACAAGGAAGCCCCCAAAATGGTATAGTAGCCCCCAAGTCATCTGGTCAC